TCATTAATTGATATTAATTTATTCAGAATTTTTATATCTTCTTGATTCAGCTTTGGTAATTCAAACATATCTAGAAATCTGTCCATTTCTTCTGAGTTTTCCATCCTATGGGAGTAAAGATTTTCAAAGTAGGTATTCATGATCTTCTGCATTTCTATAGGATCTCTCGTGATTTCCCCCTTTCCATTCCTTCTTGCATGAATTTGAGTTTTTTCTTTCCTTTTTTGATAAGGTTGTCTAGGGGTTTATTAATTTTACTTATTCTTTCAAAGAACAAACTGTGTGATTCAGTAATTCTTTGTATTGTTTTCTTCATCTCAATTGCATTAATTTCTGCCCTTTGTAATTTCCTTACTTCTTTGGGGTCTGGGCTTGACTTACTCTTCTTTTTCTAAAAGTCTGAGGTGCAGCATTGGGCTATTTGTTCTCCTTCTGTTTTCCTGATCTGTGAGTTCATTGCTAATAATTTTCTCTCTGAGGACTGCTTTCAGTGCATCCCACAGATTCTGGTAAGTTGTATTTACATTTTGGTTTGATTGTAGATATTAATTTCTTCTTTAATTACATCTGTGACCCATTGGTTGTTCAGGAAGGTGTTATTTAATTTCCAGTGTTTATGGAGTTTTTGCTATTTCTTTTATCATTTATTTCCAGTTTCATTGCACTATGGTCCAATAATATGCATAGGATAACTTCAATTCCTTTGCATTTAGTTAAGCATGTTTTATGTGCTACTATGTGGTCTATTTTAGAGAACGTCTTGTGTGCAGCTGAAAAAAATGTGTATTCTGATGTTGTGGGGTGGAACACTCTATAAACCTCTACTAAGTCCATTTGTTCACAAGTTTGGTTCAGTTCTGTTATTTCCTTGCTGATTTTTTTGTCTAGTTGATCTATCTATTTGTGTCAATGGGGTGTTATGGACCCCATTACAATAGTGTTATTAGTTATTTGGTTTTTCATGTCTATTAAGATTTAATCTTATATATTTGGGTGCTCCCATATTTGGTGCATAGATATGTATGATTGCTATCTCTTCCTCTTAAAGCTTTCCCCTAACAAGTATGTAGTGACCTTCTTTATCTCTTTTGATCATTCTTGATTTGAAGTTCACATTCTCTGCACACAGAATAGCTTCACCTGCTTTTTATTGGGTTTGTGTCCCATGCAGAATTATTTTCCATCCTTTGACTTTTAGTCTATGAATTTCATTTTGAGTTAAATATGTTTCTTTTATATAGTATATTATTGGATTTTGTTTCTTGTTCAGCTCTGCCACTCTGCTTATTTTGATTGGTGAATTGAGGCCATATAGATTAATGGTAATAACTGATATGCATTAGCTTATCTTTGTCATGTTATTTTCCTGCTTTGGTTTCTTACTTTTTCTCTCTGTTTAATTACTTCCTCTGCTTGGTTGTTCCTTTCTATTGTTCTTGAAATTGTGGTCATTTTTATCTCTTTCTAGAATATCTTTTACTAGTCTTTATAGGGTTAGTTTGGCGCTCATGAAGTTCTTCAGTTGTTCTTTGTCATGGAAGTATTTTATTTCTCCATTAATTTTGAAGGATAGTTTTTCAGGGTACATCAATCTGGGTTTGAAGGTGTTTTGTTTTAGGACCTGGAATACTTCACTCCTAGCTCTTCTTGTTGGTTTGTGTTGAGAAATCTGCTGTGATTCTGATGGGCTTCCCTTTATAAGTCATCTGTTTCTTTTCTCTAACAGCTTGGTCAAGTATGATTGTGTATATCTGTTAGTCTTAGATACTCAAGAGGCTGAGGTGGGAGGATCCCTTGAGCTCATTCCTGAGTTCAAGGGATATTCTATTCTTTTGCTGGATTTCTGGGATCTTGATTATTATATGTCTGGGTGTAGATTTATTTTTGTTATGGGTAATTGTACTTCTATAAGCTTCACTATTTTGTATGTCAGACTCTTTTTCCATGGTTGGGAAATTTTCTGCTATTACTTCTGCAAATAGTATTTTTACAACATTTGTGTTGCCTCCTGCTGTTCCATCAACACCTATCAGTCTTGTTTTTCTTTGCCTCATCTGGCAGCTGTTGATTGAAATTTCCTGGTTCCTTCTTTTTTTAAGAGATCTTTCCTTTCACAGTCATTAGCTGCAATGCTGTCTTTTAGATCTGAAAGTCTATATTCAGCTTCATTCAAGTGGTTTTGCCAGCATTTGTTAAAAGTTTTAATTTCCTGAATATCTGTTTGAATCTGTCATGCAATCTAATTCTTTCCCTTATTGTTCATTCAACGTTTTCCTCATTTTTCTATGCTCCTCTATTTTTTATCTATATCTTCTTTTGTTGTGCTGAGAAATTGTTTCATTATTGTTGTCATTTCATTTTTTTCCTGAGAGATTATTTCAGATCTGATTTCTTCTATTGCCTGATGGAGTTGTTTCTTTACTTCAGTTGTGATCATTTCAGAGATTTCAGGTGTGTGACTTCCTTGTTCTCATATATTGATATCTTTTGGAGTGTCTGTGTGGGGTGGAGTTCTGCAATTGCATTTTGCTCCTTTGTCTTGTCATTTTTAATGCAGGAGGCAGAGTGCCAAGACTTACCTTTCCCAGGCAGCTTACCAAATGTCCCAAGCATCCCTAGGTTTCCTGGCTTTCAGACTTGCCCTGTGATATTAGCAGGAGGCAGGGCACTGGGTCAGGGATCTCCTGGCAGTTCACAGAGAGTACTTGACTCTCCCAGGGCTCAGTCACAGGCACTAGGTCTGGGATCCCCCCTGCAGTTCATGGAGAGTACCTGGCTCTCCCTGGGCTCAGATGTGCACCTCAATGGTGGCAGGAGGCCTTGTTTTCTTTTTTTGAGACAAGGGATCTTACTGTAGCCCAGGCTGGTTTCGCATTCCTGAGCTCAAGGGATCCTCCTACCTCAGCCTAACAGATATACACAATCACACTTGACCAAACAGTAAGTTTTAACAGGATTAGTTCTTGTCTTATTCCCTTTCTTATCATACACATTAACAGGAAAATCCACTCACATGTGCACAACATACACACACTACAAGTACTAGGTACTATGGCGAACAAAACAGAATGCAGGGGTAATACAGGTGATTTTATGGATTAGCCAGAGATGCCTCTCAGCTTTTGATTCTAGACTGTAACTGGTGATACACATAAAGAAAAAAATTATAGTGTACATTTAAGCCTTGAAAAATCATTAATGGTCAGTGTGGTGGTGCACACCGGTAATCCCAGCACTTAGAAGGCTGAGGCAAGAAGGATCACCCAGAGTTCAGGCCCAGCCTGACTAAATAGAGAGAACCTGTTTAAAAATCAAAAAAAAAAAAAAAAAACAATGAAGAGATTTTTTTTGACCTCCACAGCACACCACTATCACAGTGGATGAAAACTTGGTTATCTAATATTTTCTGATGATATAATCTCTTTGTAGGTCTTAAGTCTCCTGATGCTTACTCAGAAGACTCGGACATGTTTAAGAAACATCTAATCAACATTGTAACTGGAATTATGTTCGTGATCTTTTTATCTACTTGTTTTTGCATGATTCATTATAATTGCATGATTGAACCCCTCAAAGATAACTCGTAAGTATGTATTTATTTATTGGTTATGGGGCTGTAGATTGAATCCAGAGACTCATGCATTTGAGGCAAGTACAACAGCCCCAGACCAGTTTGATACCTTTAAATTAAGAATACAAGCTGGGAATGGTGACACACAGCTATAATTTTAGAATTCTGGGAGGCTGAGGCAGGAATATTGCAAGTTTCAGCCAAGTCTTGGCAACTAAGTAACTTAGTGATACCCTGTTTTAAAATTAAAAAGTGCTGGGGATGTAGCTTAGTATGAAGGCCTTGGATGCAGTCTGCACTGCAACAAAAATGGAAAAAAATTATTGCATGTTTTCTCTTATGGGAGAATCCTGAAATACAAAAGGCAAAATAAAAGATAAGAGTAAATAGAGAGATAGAAGGTTTACAAGGAAAAAAGGACCAAGAAATTGAATGGGGGAGATGGATAGAAGGGGATGAAGAAAGAATGAAATAAGTTATGTACATGCACTGACTCCCCAGAAACCTTGTAGCCATTGTGTACTACAAACATGTACTAAGAAAATACAAAAATTGAAAGAAAGAGTGCAAAGTATGTGATATGTATGCATATACATACAGTGGAGGTTTCATTGTTGTTTAGGTTATTTAATGTTGACCTCAGACTTGTAAAGAACTAACAATCTCTTGTGGGTGGATACTTTCATTTAAATTATGCATATTCTTGAATATTCTCAAATGGATTATCAACTCTAGTCAAAGATTTCCTATTCAAGATTCAACTGAACCCAAGGTTATTATCTATATTACAAATTAATTTTAGGAAGATAGAGCATGAATATCTGAATAAAATGAAGAGGGAGATAGATGGGGGTTGAGCCACTTTTCCAAAGGCAATAAAACATTTTGGGTAATCTGTCACTTCAAGATTTAAAAGCAAGGAAAACTTATTTACTGCTGTTATTCTTATAACCGGAGTTTCTACTTTTCATGCACATAGATGATCATCTAAATATTTCCCAATCCAAGGGCTGGTGACTAAAATATATGCTCTATTCCTTTAGTTTGAGAGGAATTAATATAAATTTGCACAGATAGATAATTTGATGTTGTAAATATTATGCAAAAAATGACTTTGGTCTAAGGAAATTATTCTCTTATATGTCATCAGCTTGTAACATATCAAATAAAAGTTTAGTTTTTGGAATAACGGAGTCTCTCTCTCTCTCAACAATAGCTTTGAAACAATTTAGTGTCATTCCAAACATAGACCACAAAGTTATCTAATATGGTTGAAACACTAAAATACTCCTAAGGAAAAAACATTCACTAAAAAATTTTAGCTGTAATCTGAATTATAGCTTTCACCATATTCTAATTCTTATTGTGTTCAGTTGAGAGAGAGAGAGACAGAGACAGAGACACACAGAGAGAGAGAAAACAGTAAGTCTAAGCCATTGCAGTAGTTTACATTTTATGATGATAGTAATAGAATTTTGTTGTTGTTTTAAATTGTTACTCTTCAAATTTTCTACTTTTCAGAGTCAAAAATGAAGGTACAGGAACCACATTATCCTGTCCACCTGTACTACCACTCAACGACTCCAAGAAAAACGATTTGAATTTGTGTAGTCCAAAAAAACAAGGCCTGCTATCTAATAAAGGCAATTTACCTAGGCCTTCAACTACAGAAACATCATCCATACCATCCAGTGCAGGAAAGTTAAACAAGCAATTAAGGTCCAAAAAGTCATTCAAGTCATCAAGCCGTGCAGAAGCATTCAAATCACCTTACCTGAAAAAGTCACATAAGATGCGGCTGAAAAAGAAACGTAAGCTAAATTATATCCATAAGCATGCTGCACAAGTCCATTCAGCTGAGGAAGTCAGGGTACTTTTGCAAGATAATCTACAGTCTCTAGGAGGACCTTATCCAGAAAATCAAACGCTGCCAGCCAAACCAATGAAACTGAACAAACCACCTAAAACTCATCGTCCAAAAATGTCAGGGAGTGCAGGAAAGACACACATGGTACCCAAACCCCGATCAAGCACATCTTGTCACTATTACAAGGAAAGATGCCTTGTTTGCAAAACTTCTAAGACTTTAGCCAGTATGTCTGAAAAAAAGAAAAAAGCTGAATGTCTTCCTGTTTCAAGTGAAATAATATCTTTTTCTAGGTCCCTTTATAAGGTAGATTCCCAGGACCATGCATACATTGCTAATGTGGGTGACAATGGTACAATTGACAGTGATGATGACAGTGATAAAGAGATTACCATTATTTTAAATGTAACGAGCAACGATTTATTCCTAAGGGCACCTTACAAGAATTAAGGGCTCAATAAAAATAACAACTATAAAGGAGCAGATTTATGCCAACTATTTTATGGTTGCCTTCACTTAAGACACTAGTAGAAAATCTACTTCTGATGACCATCAAGATTACACCTATCCATCTTTGAGGCAATGTATCTTAAAAATCTCTATTAAATGCTCGATATAGCAAATCACTCCTGTGTTTTTTATTGTATTTTAGAGGTGCACAGCTCTTTTGACTTATCTACAATCATTTCAGTGGGAAACTTAAATATACATACACAGACAAGTCTAAAGAGGAATTGTATCATGGGTATCCTGGACTCTTCCATCCTTTGGATTAGCTCTCAATTGAAGTCCTGATCCATTGGAGTTTGTTTGTTTGTTTTATTTTGTTTGTTTTTGCAGTACTGGAGATTGAGGATTGAACCTGGGCCTCATGCATGCTAGGCAAATGTTCTTTCACTAAGCTATATGTGATCCTAGGGATTGAACCCAAGGCAAATTCTCTATCACTGTACTACACCTCTAGCTCCTGAAGATTATTTTTCAGTTTATGTGTTTGGGTGGTTCTGCAAATTAAGCCCAGGGCCTTGTGCATGATATGTAAGCATTCTGCCACTGAGCTACACCTCAGCCCTATGTTTTAAAGTTTATGTGCAATCCTCAGAGTTTAAGATTATCTCTTTTTCTGTTGTACTCAGTACTTATTGGACATTCCCTATGCTATGGTGAGAATATTTGTGTACCCCCAAAATTCATGTGCTTACAATGGAATCCTTTATGATGATGATAGGTGGAGCCCTTGGGATATAATGAGATCATCAGGGTTGAGCTCTCATGAATGGCAGTAGTGGCCTTCTGCCATGTGAAACACAGCAGAAAGACTCCATCTATAAACCTTACAGCTTATCCTCACCAGACACTGAGTCTGATGGTACTTTGACCTTAGACTTTTTGGACTCCAGAATTGTGAAAAATAAATTTCTATTGTTTGTAAGCCATTCACTTTATGGTATTTAATTATACAGCCCCAATGAATGTATGTGGTCTGCATGCTTGGTTCTGGCTGAGCTGGAGAAATTTCTGATAGCCCTTCTAACACCAGTGCTTCCAGGGACTACCATCTAAAGTGAGGGTCCAGTTGGCAGTACCCACATATGGAGCTCCATGATATTAATATACACTTTCTAATCTTTGATACTCTCAATAAATCTTCTCATTATTTTTGTTACAATTCAAACTTGTAAAAAAAAAAAAGTTTGCTCTGGTGTGCATTCTCAAAAGGACCCGGGCAGGACCTTTCATTTACCTATTTTTTCTACATTATACCTTGATCAAAGATGGGAGGCTAGGAGAGAAGCTTGGAATTATACAATATAACTTCCTCATTAATGAAATGTTATATTTGCTTCTCCCAAGGGCATAGTTGAAAAAAACAGACAAAGTCCTATACTCCCAGATTATATTCTAGTACAGTACATTTTGTCCTATATAACATCTAACAGGTACAACTGAAATGCCAGTAGCTAGCATGGATTGAATGTGTCAGGCACTGTACTAGTCCCTTTATATCTCACAAGCCCTGAGCTTGCCCTCAAATTTGCAAAATGGACACATAAGACTCAACAGGTTATACTGATGACTAAAGTTTATTTTAAAAATATTATCTAGATCAACGGCAACAGAAAAAAGATACTGTATATTGGTAGAATCAAAAGACATCAAGCATAGACTTTTGACTATTTCCCCATCAGGGACCACACAGGACATGCTTTCTCTTTAGCAGAAAACTATGTAGACATATACATAAAAAGGAAAGCTATGCAAATCTCTGAGTCTGAGGCTTTAATTGAAAGCCATGTAGAGACATCATGCTACATGACAGGCCATGGCAAATAAAACTTAGGATCCCAACAATAAAACCAGGTATAAAACTTAAATGTTTTCTTATATTATCTAATTTCTTTTATTTTATTGGCACATTTTTTTTTTTTTTTTTTTTTTTTTT